TAAGATTTTTAATATTAATTTCAGATATAAAAATCCGGATATCCAGAAGCCATAGATTCGAATCCAGATATTTTTACCACGAATACTACGGGTTTGGATACCTTGAAATTCTAAGGTATCCGGATCCATCCTATCCCTAGTTGATCATTAGGCTAGTTGACTATAATTTTAGGAGGAAATGTTTACGATTGTCAAACCAATTGAAGAGGGAGTAAATTTATAATATGCCAAAAGCTACCTAACGAATTTGTTCACTTTCATATTAGTTGATTTTTGGACTGGATTACCGGATTATAATTAAATATACTATTATGTTTAGCTTTTTGTTTTCAAAAGAAATTTTATGTTTAGCTTTGATGTTACTGCAAATGTATAAAAAGTGTTTGCGTGATTCTACTAATTTATCACTAACCGCGATATTATGAAATGATATATGAGCATGTTAGAAATGTTAACGTAAAACCTAAAGTAATATTTACAAGAGCTTTCGTTTTTTTGTCATTCAATTGCAAACCATTTATTTACGAAATTCCCACACATAAGATATTTTTGTATCTTTAAACAAATATTTTCCGAAGTGAAATATGTCCAAAATAATTTTGTCTGGCACTAGTATACTCGTCCGTGCTCTTTTGTCCGTTTCCGTAAAAAAGAAGAGCAAAAGATGCACGAACCAAGAGGAATTTTAAAAAAAAGGTTTAGACCAAAATAAATAAATAAACAAAGGTTAAACCACGATTTCGCATAAAAAGCTCATCGTATCTTGACTCCACGTACGGGCGTACATGCATGTTGTTGTTAATTACAATTTTTTAACTTAAAGCACATACATACAATATATTAAACACACACACATGAACAAATCCATGTATATAAGACTATAGAGTCACGTTTAAATATAACCACGAACAAACCAACTAAAAAACTTATAAGAGAGAGATCATGGATAGTTCTTCTTCCAGTCATGGGATTGAACAACTCCAACAAGGATGTTATTATGAGTGGATGAGTTTACAAGCTAAACACATAGTAAACCTCAAAGAAGCACTAATGAAAAACGATGCTCATCACAAACTCGAAGAACTCGTTGGTGTAATCGTCAATGACTTCCAAAGATACGCCGAAAAACGATCAGAGCTTTCTAATCGAAGTTGTTCTAGCTACTTTGCGCCGTCGTGGAACTCCTCTCTAGAGAATGGTTTACTATGGATGGGAGGATGTCGTCCTTCTTCTTTCATTAGAGTTATTTACGCTTTGTGTGGATCCCAGACAGAAACCCAGTTTTCTTCTCAGTATTTTCACAAGATCGATGGAAATGAAAACGCTGATGAAAGTGATGGATTCATGAGTGAGCTTACCGCGATGCAACTTGGTAACATCAACGAGTTGCATATTAAGGTGATACATAAAGAAGATAAGATAACGAAGCAATCTGCGAACATGCAAGAAGATGTTGTGGATATGCCTATCGCGGTCACAGCTTACTCGAGGGATTTGGTTGAAGCTGGCGTTGAAGTTGAAGATGCTTTAGATAAGCATGAAGAGGGCATGGCGGTTTTAATGGCCGAGGCTGATAAGTTGAGGATAGAGACTTTAAGGAAGATCGTGGAGGTTATGACACCGGTTCAAGCGGCGGAGTTTTTGCTCGCCGGGAAGAGATTACACGTATCGTTGCATGAGTGGGGAAGGGTTAGAGAAGAACGTCGTTTTGGTCGTGCACATGCGGGTGCTGTCGCCGGAGGAGCCGGAGCCGGGAAGCCAAAGAGATCAGCCACTTGTTGATGTAAGTGTGATGAGTTTTAAAGGTTTAATATATTGTGTAATATTTGTCTAAGTA